TCCCGCACTGGCAGGCAGATTCTTTGCCCCTAGTGCCACCTGGGAAGCCCCCACAAGAAGAACAACTGAAGACCGGAGACAGGAGGAGCTCTGCCTTCAATTTCACCCACCACGCCTAGCGCAGGACTGGCGTCTAGCAGCTTCCAACAGATGTGTGTTCAACCACGCTAATCTTGCTGCTAACCAATTTCCCTCGTCAGGCTTCAGACGCCACCTCTTACTTTTTTTAAGTGACTTAGAGCCACACTTCTCAAACTTTAATGGGCAAACCCATTCCCCGGGGACCTTGTAAGGTGCAGACTCCATCAGCAGGCGTGGCAGAACCCAGGAGCTGCCTTTCTAGCAAGCCTCCTGCACTGTTGGTCCACGGACCACACTTTGAGTAGCAAGGAGTGAGATGGTCTCTCAGGGAGAGATTCTGGCTACCACTCTACCCTTTTGAAGTGTAGAAAACACTAGAGACTCTAAGTGTGGAAGGAAGTGGAAGAGGAGCAAAGTGAGCTGGGCGTGGTGCTGGGCTGGATCCAGGTTAGTGGAAGCTTCTCCCCGAAGCCGGCAGGAAAGGCCCACTCTTTTGTTACAGCGCACAAACAAAGCTTTCGGGATCTGTAAAAAGCATCAGGCATCATCTTGCTGGCTCGGAAGGCTCTATCTCTTAATGATTCTTCCTGTTTTTCTCAGCCTGATCCAAGAGAATGAGAAAACAGTCCCAGTGAAGGTCAGCAGAGGTCAGGGAGGTCCCTGGAGAGGCTGCTTTCAGCCCACACGTGGGGAGAGAAGGCAGCTGGAGGCCCCACTCCAGCCCTGCCGGGTTCCAGCCCGACGCCTTTGCTAACCCAGCCCCATGCCAGAGCGTCAGGGTGACGGGGACCCGGGATGGGGAGCCCTGCTCCAAGTCAGCACCATTCAAATCCACACTCACCACAACTGCTGGGTGTGCCAGTGGGCCAGACGCCCCAGAGGACACAGCGTCAACAGAGTCGGGGCGTGCTGGGTGCACATGTCTGTAAGGGGCGGAAGGTATCCGTGGAAGACAGACTGCAACGCAGAATGTCACCAAGGACACGCCAAAGAGACCCACAGGTGGTACAGAGATTTAGAGAGCTGCAATCCCATCTGCAAATATGCAACCTGCTTTTCTCAACAACAACAAAAAAAGAGAATCCCAGCATTTTGGCCCACGCACAAACATTTCCAGAATGATCTCTTACATCTGGACTCAGCACACTAGTTGATAACACCTGTCAGGCCCTGTCACAGCATTCGATTGTAAACACCAAGGTCCCAGTCTGTTCGGTGTTGTGTGGCAGCCTGGATGGGAGGGGCATCTGGGGCAGAAAGGATACATGTACATGTCTAACTGAGTCCCTTTGCTATTCACCTGAAATTTAAAGAAATGTAGAGAGGTGTTGCCTTAAAGGCTTCAAGGGAAACATCACGGAGGGGGCATTTGAAACTTGAAGGGGGGTATGGGATCCTCAAGAAAAGACGGAAATGAGAATATTCCAAGTCAGGGGAAAATAGGAGAGAAGGCACAGAGGGGAATTTCAATGCACAGTCAGGGTGGGATCCAGTGTGACTACAGCTCGTGGGAAAAGAGGCTGGTAAAGAGAGGATTCTCATCACTAAGGCCTGAGTCTCTCTTTCCCCTCATAGGGTCTGATAGAGGCCCATGGACACGCACACTGACCTGGCCAACTTTTAGGACTCTGCCTGTCAAAAATGATACTACACACATACGTAGAGTGGAATATTACTCTGCCATGAAAAGGAATGCATTTGAGTCTGTTCTTATGAGGTGGGTGATCCTAGAGCCTGTTAGGCAGAGTAGGGTCAGTCAGAAAGAGAAAAACAAATATTGTGCGTTAACACGTATATATGGAATCCAGAAACAGTACTGAAGAACCTATCTGCAGGGCAGCAGTGGAGACCAGACGGAGGGAACAGATGTGGATGCTGTGAGGGAAGGAGAGGGCGGGACGCCTTGCAAGACTAGCAGGGAAACACGGACGCCACCATGTGTGAGATAGACAGCCTGCGGGGATTGGCTGTAAGACGTGCGGAGCTCACAGCACAGCTCCGTGAGGACCTAGACGGCTGGGACACGGGGGGAGGCGGCAGCGGGGTTCACGAGGGGCGGGGGACGTGTGTGCGCCTTCGGCCGATTCATGCTGATGAACGTTTCTGCCATAGCAGAAGCCAGTCCAATATTGTAAAGCAGTTATCCTCCACTAAAAACAAACTTTTGAAAAATGGCACCACAATGATCCCCAGCAATTCACTGGTCCAATAATTTCTAACTGAACCCTTAATACATGTGGAGGCACCATAGCTCAGCTGGTAAAGAATCCGCCTGCAGTGCAGGAGAGCCCGGCTCGATCCCTGGGTTGGGAAGATCCCCTGGAGAAGGGAAAGGCTACCCACTCCAGTATTCTGGCCTGGAGAACTCCATGGACTGCATAGTCCATGGGGTCGCAAAGAGTCGGACACAACTGAGCGACTTTGTTTCACTTGATATATGTGTAGCACCTTCCCAGGGACTAGAAATGCCATAGAGAGATAAACCAGACACATCCCTGAGACCTGGACAGATGACAGGTAACACGAGGTGGTAGGAAGAACAAAGGACTGAAATCAGAATCATCTGGGCTGCAAACCCTAGCTGTGCGTTAAGCATGAGCGATTCCCCGTCTCTGGGCCTTGGCGTCCACCTCCCTGCCGCGGGTGATTACACTTATCGCCCAGGATTGCTGTGGAAACGAACCTTCTGGGAAGGAACGTCCCGTTGCATCGGGCACGCTGCAGGCATTCACCACTGGTTTGTTCTGTCTCCGGTCGCAGAGAGGCCCTGATTTCCAGGGCCTCACACTCCGCCCCGGCAGTTTGGAGACTCTGCGGCTCCTGTCACTGTGCCCACCCCCAGGGCCCTGGCACGTCCCAGCGAGGGGGGCTCTCCCCAGCCCTGAGTAAGAAGCTCTCCGCCCCCCACCCCCACCCCAGGGTGGCCTGAGACGAGGCCGGTGGCCCAGGCAGCCGTTAATCAGGATGCCTCTGCGGCTCCACCAGGCGCCGGCAGGCCGCTCAGCTGCCCCGTGGGCATCCTCACCACTCCACCAACCCGTTGCCATGGCAGTAACCCCCAGAGACAGCCAGGACTGGCCAGAGCCGAAGAAGAAGGTTCTGTTCCTCTGATTCAATCGGCCTCGATCTCGTTTGATGTCAGGGTCCCAGAGTGAGAATTCACAGCAGAATTTAAATTGACTGAGCACTCCTTTTCAACCCTGAACCATATTTTAAGCGCTCTCCACCCGTGATCTCATTCCATACTCACAATGACACTGTGCAATAGGGATTCCCAGCCCCACTTAGCAAAACCGGAACATGGGGTTCAGAGAGGTGAGTGCCGAGGTCACGCAGGTGGTCCCTGGAGCCAGGACACGGCTGTGCCCCCAGACCCCCCAGCCCAGGGTTGCATGACTCCAGGGCCTCTACAAGCTTCCCCAGAGCCAGGGCCATTGTCTCCCTGGCCTGAACACTCCTGGAACTCAAGGAAGCAGCTACAGAGAACAGAGACCCTGGGTCCTCCTGAGACCCTGAGGATTCCTCAGGGACAAAGTCAGATGACTGAGCATGCGTTATATTGAGGCAGCTGCCCGAAAACGCGTTCGGGAATTTCCTAATGCAAGCCCAATTTCAAAGAGGCAGCCTACTTTTCTCAAAAAGTGAAAATTCCAACATTTTGGCCCCCACACCAACACGTCTCCAGAATGGTCTCTTACATCTGGACTCAGCACAGTATTGGATAATATGTGTCAGACCCTGTCACAGACTCTAAACACCAAGGTTCAGCTCTGCTCAGTGTCAGGTGGCAGCCCGGATGGGAGGGGAGTCTGGGGGAGAGTGGATACAAGCATATATCCAGCTGAGTCCCTTGGCTGTCCCCCTGAAACCGTCACACATTATCAATCAGCTGTGCTTGCAAAGTCACTTCAGCCGTGTCTGACTCTCTGTGACCCTACGGACTGCAGCCCGCCAGGCTCCTCTGCCCACGGGATTCTCCAGACAAGAATTCTGGAGTGGGTTGCCATGCCCTCCTTCAGGGAGTCTTCCCCACCCAGAGATGAACCTGCATCTCTTAAGTCTCCTGCATTGATTGGCAGGAGGGTTCTTTACCACTAGTGCCACCTGGGAAGCCCATTAATCGGCTAGCCTCCAATACAAAATGAAAAAGTTAAAAGGAAAAAATCAAAAATCAATAAAAATAACCAAAACAATAAACACCAAGGTCCTTATATTCAGGCACAAGGGGAACAGCTTTCACTTGCTGGCTTCAGCTGCCGGGTTCCGCCCCACTGGAGGCGCACATCCCTGGAGTACCCAGGGAATACCTCGCTAAGCTCAGATGCTGGAAAACTCACCTAAAAAACGGGGTGGTTCTCCCTCCCTGCCACCTGCCCCCTCCCGCGTGCCTGCTGACCTACTAGTCCCAACACTGGGAACGCACGACGTGGGGAAATCCAGCCGCTCTCAGTGGCCCCGGACATCTGGGTCCTCTAACCCCAGGCCGCAGCTGAGAGGGGAGGCAACCACGCAAGGGGGCTGGGAAAGCGGCTGGAGGGACATCTGCCCAGCGGTCGACCTCCTGAACAAACACTTGTCCCACTCTCAAGGGGTCAGCAGAGCCGTGTTTACGCATGCCCAGACCAGTCCACTAATTAATTAACTCCCCAGGTGGCCTCTGGCCCCTAAAGCCTTCACCCCTTGAGGCGTCAGTTTCCTTATCTTATAGTCTAAGAATCAGAGGAGTTTATTTTTTTTTTTTTGCTTTTAACTATTACTGGAGTAGAGTTGCTTTACATTATTGGGTTAATTTCTGCTGAAGAGCAAAGTGAAGCAACCACGCGCATACGTATCTCCCCACTCTCTTGGATTTCCTCCCCATTTAGGGCAAGACGGCGCTGCAGAGACGGTGCTCGCTGGCGGTCCGTCCTACGCAAGCATCAGTGGCGTCTGGGTGTCACTCCCAGTCGCTGCCCCTCCCGCTCGGCTTCCACATGCTCCTTCTCCACACCTGTGTCTCTTGCTCTGCTCTGATGCCAGGAGCTACCTTGAAAGAGCAGGAGAGACAGCACTGGCTCCACTGCAGGAGCCTGGGCACCACACCCCCTGCCTCCGCGCCTCGGGTTCCTCAAGCTGACATGGCCTCTCCGTCACGGCCTGCGTGCATTCCAGCAAATTCCAGACCTGACACCTGCTCACCACCAACCTGCTCACCACCACCTCCACCAATCAGGCCTGCCTGATCTGCTGCAATAACCTCTGAGCAGAGGGGCCCAGCCCCAGCGTCTCCTCCACCCGCCCGTTCCCCACCCGGCCTCCAGGGCGATGTCGCTCAGCCTCACGCTCTCCCCTGCAGGCACCAGCCACCCGGCCTCCAGGGCGATGTCGCTGCGGACTCCCTGGTGCTCCAGGGCCTAGGACCCCATGCTCTCACTGCTGAGGGTTCAATCCCTGGTTGGAGAACTAAGATTCCACAAGCTGCATGCTGCAGCAAGAAAAAAAGAGAGAGAGAGAGGGTGATGTTTCTTTTCAAAACACAAACCCACTCCTATTAGCACCCCGCTGATAAGCCTCCCCGCTGCTTTTAGGATAAAGAACAAAACCCCGGCCAGCCCGTCAGCATCCTGTCACTCAGCCTCACGCTCTCCCCTGCAGGCACCAGCCACCTGGCCTCCTTTTTGCTCCTTAACGGACAAAGCTCCCTAGTTCCTGACGGGCCTTTGTCGAGAATCCGATCTGCGCCTGCTCTAACCCACCGCATCCTTCAAGGAGCACATTCCTTCTCTGCCTTTAGGTCTCACCTCCACACACCCCCACTCAGGAGTCCGCCCAGGAACGTGCCAGGCTCGCTCAGAGGGCCTGCTCTGACTCCCCACAAGACCACACCCTTCCCTGCACAGTGATCCTGTCCAAGTATGCGTTCACTGACGAGATTCTCTGTCCTCTCTCCCTGCCCCGCAGTCTACACTCAATAAGGATTCTCACTGGGGCAGCCGGAGCTGGGAGGTCTACCCTTAGGAAGGCCCTGGGGTGGAAGGTGGAGGGGTGCCATCCCTTCCAGCAAACCCTGGCAGACACCAGGCTCTGTCAGCTCTGATCTAAATCTCTGAGGCTCCCAGGGAGACATCCTGCTGACTGCTGGAAAACTGTCCCCAAGGCCAGCTCACAACATCAAGTGAGCTATGGGCTAGGCTCAGAGTTCGTGTCAGCAGAGGGTGCAAAGCCGTCCCTGCCAGAGACCCCCGCTGCTGGCGGCCCTCCTGGCGGTGGGCCTCTTCTGAGCATCAGCCAGCATCTGGGAGGGAGCCAGAGCTGGTGTTGCAAAGGGAAGATGACCAGTGGATTCCTGGCTCTCTGGAAACGTCTTCAGTCTTTCCCCCCTCCCCACCTCCTTCTACCAACTGACTCACACTGATCATTCAAATGTGAATGTCACCTCCTCCTCCAGGAAGCCTCCCTTGGCTGAACTAATGACCCCATGTCTGTGCCTGTGTTCCCCCCACCCCACCCCTGGCATCCCTCTGGCATGGTACTCAGAACAGTACACGGAAAGTAAGTGTCTCCCCACCCAGCTGAAGGCTGCCTGAAAGAACTGACATCACCAGACCCAGTGCCCAGCACCCAGCGACTACTTAGAAAAACGTCATTGTATCAATGAGGAAACTGCATCCCTGAGAGGAAGAGTGACGTGTCCCCAAGGCCACATGACATGTCACTTACCAGCAGAGCCAAGCATACAACCCAGGTCTCTAACCACAAGCTGTCACCCTCTTTCCCCGCTGCCTCCCCGTCTTCATGGGAATGGCCACTGTTCATGACTCTGGGGACCAAGGACACGCCAAAGACTCAGGAGGAGAGCATCCTGAAGGCAGGATCCCTGGGGTGTCCCCAGGGGAGAGCAGCTATAGACTTCTGTGTCCTCCACCTGCCAGCTGAACAGACATTCCCCACTCAGGACTGAGATTTATGGAGAATCCAGCCTCAGATCCAGCAAAGCCGTGGGCACGTGGTGGCAAACCATCCCTCCTCTGCAAGCAGAAAAACCGTCCTCCAAGACAGAGTTTGTGGTCCTCCCTCCAGCCCCTGTCCTGGAGCACACGCTTTCTAAGAACCTGCCAGAATTTACCAAGCCTGCTGTCTCACTCCATCAGGCACCCCCAGATCTTAAGCTTCCTGAGAGCAGGGAAACCTGTGTTGCCTTTGGATCACAGAATACATTATCTGCAAGGGCCTCTCAGATTCACCTGGCTCCATCTGTTTACATGTACATCTGAGAAGTGGGATCCAGCGGGGGTAAAGCCACACTCCCCGGTCACTGGGCGAAGGCCTGACAAAGCCGGGGTCTGAGCCACCCCCCAACTGTGTCCCACACGGATCCCCACATGCACTGGACTCCAGCTCTGACAAGTATCATCCTTCAGTCTCCTCCAGGCCTGAGAGCAGAGCTGGGCCCAGTGAAGTGTGAAAACGAAGTGAAAGTCCTTCACGGGGGTCTGACTCTTTGCAACCCCACAAACTTCAGCCTGCCCGGCTCCATGGAATTCTCCAGGCAAGACTCCTGGAGTGGGTAACCTATCCCTTCTCCAGGGGGTCTTCCCGAACCAGGAATTGAGCCGGTGTCCTGCACTGCAGGCAGATGCTTTACCAGCTGAGCCACCGAGTTTGTTCATTGACGGGAGGGGACCCACCAAGACTCACACCGCAAACCCGATCACGTCACTTCCCTGTTTAAGAGGCTTTGGCGGTTTCTTGCTACCCTGCCGACACGTCCATCCTTCTTGCTGTACCGCCCTCGAAGTCCCAGGCCCCTGCTTCCCTGCGGCCGCAGACCACGGCTGGCGGAGGCCTCCCCCGCGGTCCTCACGCGCTCAGGCCGGCTCCCAGCACCTTGGCCAGCCAACCCCTGCGGGTCCCTCAGCCCCGTCTTGTCTTCCTCCACCCCATTTCCCTGGAGGTCTCACACCCTCAGCCCACCACCAGGCGCCCGGAGCTCCATTGTGATCACTACCCGTGCTCCTCATCTCAACACTTCATCCGACCCCAGGCGCCCGGACCCTATCTGCCTCCATCCTCCCAGAGTATCGGGCGCTTTGACTGGCAGGTGGGGACCCCTCCCCTCCGCCCAGCTGGCTCCCTGACTGGTGGGCGCGGACCGCTGCAGCAGCTGAGGCCCAGGCCTGGGGGGCGGGACGGGCTCCCGGGGAAAGTGCTCAGAGTCTCACCCGGGGTGCTGGGGGCACCCCAGGGGAGGCCCCTCCGCGAGCGCTGCTGTTCCCGCCTCCGCGTCCTCGTCCGTCCAGGATGCGTGGGGAAGGGGAAGCGCTCCGCTCCCTCTGACCCCCGGTGGCTGCTTCCTGAGCTTCCTTCAGTCTCGGGGCCGACGGGCAGACGCGGGCAGTGGGGCTGCCACACGCTGCCGCCCCCAGACACACTTCCTGCCTCTCCCGGCAGGATGTTATTGCAGAGCTCTGCGCTGTGATTGTCAGGAGATGGGCTTTCCTGAGCTCGTTAAGGGACCTCGCTGCTTTCTCGGGGCCAGCCCCCCCTTTTCCTGTGGCCCGCAGGAGCAGGGAGGGAAAGGGGCCCTGCCGCAGCTCCCCGTGGACTGTGGCTGAAGACCACGAGCCTTGGGGGCAGCGGGTCCCATCCCAGCGGCTCTGGACACCAGGCAGTGCTTGGCACCGACAACCACTGTGTCGTTCAACCCTCACGATAATCCCGGAAGACAGATGCCATCACTACCCTCTCTTTTACAGCCGGCTGACCTGATGTGCTCCAAGGCACGCGGCCAGAAGGAGGCAGGGCAGGGCTCCAAATCCAGGGCTACCTGACTCGCCCCCAGCCTCCCACACCATTCCCTTTGCTGCTGTCCAGCCCACGAGCCGGTTCTCATCCCGTGAGTGGCAGTGACGAGTGGCAGGGAGCAGAGGGGAGAGGCTTCCCCGGGGCCAGCCTTTCCCTCGAGGGAGTCTAGGGGTCACAGCATCTCTCCTCATCTCTGAGAAAGAACTAGAACTCACTCGGTATAATGAGACAGCTCCCATCTCGTTAGCCAAATTCAAGCACTTCCGCTTTGCCCCGGAGGAGACGGGCCCATCACCACCGTGGACGAGGCAGAAGAAGGTGAAGGTGGTCAGAAACTGCCAACGGTGACAGTGGTCTCTCTTGGGTGATGCTTTTTGGAAAGAGCAGCAATGTGGCAGCCTGGACAGACCGTGGCTTGGTCTGCGTCTTACTGATTCGGCTACGAACCGAGTGATCCCGGGGTCCTGCAACTTCCAGGGGCCTCATTTTCCTGACCTGGGAAGTAGGATAACTCCCGCCCCCCTGTCCAGTATTCCTGCCTGGAAAATCCCATGGACAAAGGAGCCTGGAGGGCCACAGCCCATGGGGTCGCAGAAGCGTGGGACAGGACCTAGGGACTGAACGAAAACAGCCCCCCACCACCCAAGGTGTCTAAAAATACAGGGCTTCCATGTGAATAAAAGTACCTTGTAAACTGAGACACGGGGCTCTGTTTCTGTTAAGCGGATATTTTTGCCTTCTTTTTTCTGTCTGGGCGACAACCCAGAGTAACAACTCTGGGGCCCAAAACTGGGTTCAAATCTCAGTCTTGCTGGTTTTGAGCTTTATGACCAGAGATGAGTGTTTTAAGGACTCTAAGCCTGTGTTCCCCCCACCCTTTATTTTTTTATGTGGACCATTTTTAAAGTCTTTATTGAATTTGTTATAGCACTGCTTCTGCTTTTTGCTTCAGGTTTTTGGCCACGGGTGTGTGGGATCTTTGCGCCCCCGCCAGAGATCAAACCCACACCCCTGTGTTGGAAGGTGACGTCTTAACCATTGGACCAGCAGGGAAGTCCCGAAGCCACTACTTCTGGGCAGGAGAAAACAGAACAGCAATACCTGCCTCACAGATTCGTAGGGAAGGTTCGACACATGGACATCTAAACGGTGAGCACAGTGCCTGAGCTCAAGCTCCCGGTAAATGGCAGCTGCTGTTTTACGAAAAATGATGATAATTATTTCTGCTACTGTTTCCATTATTCTGCTGAAGTCACAGTCTAGCAACACAGTAGCCTGAGGAAAAGGAGGTGGCCGGGCCCCCTGCGTCAACAGCAAGGAGACTTGCTGAGTCCCCACACACCGCCACACAGAGCCACGGAGCATGAAGGGACAGACCAGACAGACACGGAGATGGACAGGCAGCGCGCGAGAGGAGCACAGAAGACCCGCGTGGAACAGACGTGATGGAAAGAGCAAGCCGGCCTGAACGGGCCTCCTGTTCGTCCACAGAACTGAGTCTCTGGGATGCCAATCTGATGGCGGTGGCACCATCCAGGGTCTTGTCCTGCACTGGGTCACGTGCACACGCAGGGAGGTAGGGACTGCCACGATTCCCAGTTTGCCGTTTCCCAAGCCCACTCGCTTTAACTCTCAGAGGGGGCTCTAGGAACCACCGTTCAGTGGCGAAGTGGCTTAGAGAGAGGATGTGACGTCTCCTGAATTTCCATTTCCTCACCTGTGACCCTGGCACCGGTGACCCCACCTCGGTGGACTGTAGCGGCCTCCGTGGCCCCAGCGCCAGGCCTGCGCTGGCAGGAGCCTGCTGAGCGACGCTCTTCCTGTCTCTCACCCACATCCATTTCTCCCAAACCAGCTCGACCACAAGGCTCGCCTGACACGCTCCGCTTTTTCACACAGACCCCGGAGACCTGTGAGTCTAAATCCCGAGGAAGGTTCCTAGAAATCTGTACTAAAAAAAAGAAAAAAGGCGTTCCCTGGCTGTCTAGTGGTTAGAACGCCACGCTTTCCCTAACGAGGGTCCAGGTCCAATCCCTGGTCGGGGAACTAAGATCCTGCAAGCAGTGCAGTGCGGCCCTCCAAAAAAATCTTTTCAAGTAAAAATAGATAAACTTTAAAAGTCAATGTCATAGTATAGAAACTGGTAAGGGGATTGTTTGAAAGGAAAACAAACCCACATGATTCTCATAATGAGGTATATTTGGGAGTCAGAGGACCGGGGCTGTCTACCCATGAAAATCCTTTGGAGAACTTTTTAAAACAATCTTGATGTCAAACCCGATTCTAGATGACTGACTCTGAGTCTTGGGGGGTGAGCCTCAGTCAGACATCAGGATATTCATAAGTTCCCAGGCGATTCTAAGGGGAAGCCAGAGGGGGGAACCCCAGCTCTGAGCCAGTGCCATTCCAAAGAACTTTCTAGAATGTTGGAGGTGTCTTGTCTCTGCATTGTCCAGTCTAATAGGGCTTCACCATGTGTGACTGTTAGGAACTTGAAATATGGCTGGTGTGGCTAAAGAGCCAAAATATTAATTTCATTTCATTTTCAATGATACCCTTTTAAATTTGAATCGCCACATGCAGATAGTGGCTAGCTGGCTGGGAGTGCGATTCTAGACCTGGGTGGGCCCACTGACCTCTGGGTAACAAGGAAGGACTGCAGAATGAAAATAAGAAGGGTCCCCTCCACTTCCAAAGGAGGCAGGGGTCCTCCCCGAGACATCGCTTGGGAAATAAAAATGTTCTCGCGGGATCCAAGACAGTCCTAGGGGTCTGTCCCACTGGGTACATTTCCCACCTTCAGCCCCTTGCTTGGCCCTCCTGCAGGAGGAAAAGAGCCGCCTCCAGGCTTCTAAGGAGAGCCCTTGAAGTTGCAGGAAGAGCCAGGAGCTGGGCCAAGGAGGTTAGCTTCTATTTTAAAGAACCTTTTCCTCTCTGGAGTCGGCTCCATCCTCCAACGGTGAGGACGGGGCAAAGGCTACGGCTGACATTGTGTTGCTGAACGTGAAACGGCCTCTGAGGTCACCTGGCAGCTGGTGGGCACGTCCTGACAGCCGGCTCTTAATCACACTCCCCCCAGCCCCTGGGGGTGGAAGGAGGGGGCAGGTGGGGTCCAGCTGTCGGCGATCACCAGGTGACCTTCCAGCCCCCTCCCTGCACACCCCCTGCCCCTCGCCTCACCCCACCTCGCGCCCTGCACTGATGGATGTTTGCGAGCTCAGCGGACACCCAGATGGCAGGCAACGCGGACCCCCGGCCAACAACACAGGAAGCGCCGCTGGGTTTCTCCTCGCCCGTGATGAACTCACGCCTGCATGACGAGCTGCGATTTCCACGTGTTTTCGTACAGTCACCACACCTATCGGTTGTCTCTCCCCGGGAGCAATCAGCGGGTCCTGCCAGGGGTCAGCTTTCTCTGGCTCCATCAGCAGGATGGGACCTCCAGACCTCAGTCCGGGGTCAGGGAGGTTAGACGTGGGACAGTGGAGGCAGTAGCTGGGTCTGGGCAGTTCACCTTTTTTTTTTTTTTTTAAAGAGCTCTGTCATCTTATTTGGTTAGTTACTAGCAAGCCAGCATAAACATGGTGTGAGAAGAGGCAGAATCTACATGAAGGTCTGGACTGCTTTTTTATTATTATTTTTAATTGGTGTATAATTGCTCTACAAGGCAGGTCACCTTTAAAATGGGGGCATTAATATCCACTTCCCGAAATGATCGGAAGAACAAAGCCAGGAGATGGTTTGTAACTACAAGGGACCAGCAGACAGCAGGCACCCGAGGATGTTTAGTGGGAGCGTCCCTAACCCCTAGGGCTTCCCTTGTGGCTCATCTGGTAAAGAATCCGCCTGCATGAGGGAGACCTGGGTTTGACCCCTGGGTTGAGAAGATCCTGGAGAAGGGAAAGGCTACCCCCTCCAGTATTCTGGCCTGGAGAATTCCAGGGACTGTATAGTCCGTGGGGGTTGCAAAGAGTCAGACATGACTGAGCGACTTACACTACCCTTTCCCTAAATTTCTTCTTAATAATTGCAGTGCCCTAGGCTGTGACTTCTAAACCCTGCAGATTTTTTATCCTAAGAAAATGCCCCAAATACCCTGACAAGACGCAAGTCCCAGTGGGCCACACGTGGTAGGATTCCCCGCGAGGACTCAGCCAACCCTCCCAGCACTAGTTCCTCTTCAAATCTTTAGCTCAGCTTAGCAAACACTGGCTGAGTTTCCCCAGGACAGTAGGTGAACATCTGTGCACAGAACAGGGTGGGACGCCAGCCCCAAAATTAGCAAGACACACATCTCCAAGGCTCCTCCAAGCCATGTCCTGACTAGTAGTTCTTACGAGCTTCAAGACAACCCTCTGGGGAAAAAAATGAAAACTGTTATTATAATCCTTGTTTTCCAGATGAGGAAACTGAGGTGCAGAGAGTTGAAATGTCTTACTCAAGTTCACAGATACTAGTTGCAGAGCCAACCCTCAAACTCAAATTGGTTTTTACTTCAAATGGTATTTTGCATGCCAAGCACTCGCAACAAGAACTGAAATAATGATTGGTATTGTATGTTCAGTCAAGTCTGACTCTTTGGGCCCCATGGACTACAGCCCACCAGACTCCTCTGTCTATGAAATTTTCCAGGCAAGAATACCGTAGGGGCTTGCCATTTCCTACTCCAGGCGACCTTCTCCACCCAGAGATCGAACCAGAGTCTCTTGAGCTTCCTGCATTGCAGGCAGATTCTTTACCACTGAGCCACGTGGGAAGCCCATTGCTTAGTATTACCGTTATCTGAAGACCATGCCTTTCCAGCACCAGGGAAAGAGCTGGGTTTTAAAAACCAACAGGCTGTGATTAAGCACAGACTGGGGTGTCCAGAGAAACCAGATATTAACATGCACTTGCAAGTCAAGAAATTCTACTTGATTTTGAAGACCTTGGTAAGGACACAGGCTGTGGAAGCTTCATAGAGAAGGCAGAACTTGAGTTGAACAGGGAGAAGGGGTTGGTCTTGCTTGGGGAGTGGGGGAAATCAGAGCTTTCTAGGCGGGGAGCTCCATCCACACAAAGGTTCCAGAATAAGCAAGCACGTTTTGTCAATTGAAAGCTCATCTCAGGAGACAGGCCCTGGAGATGCAGAAATCAGTAAGATAAGATGGCAGCCCTGGAGGCAGATACAGGAGCAAGGCCAGCACTTGCTCTGCGGGCCTATGCGGGGAAATGGAGGAAAGCAGACGGCTCCCCAGAGTCAGATGGGGAAAGAACCTCGAATGGTTCAGTTCAGTTCAATACAGAAGCAGGGCAAAGGCTAACAGAATTCTGCCAAGACAACGCACTGGTCATAGCAGACACCCTCTTCCAACAACACAAGAGAAGACTCTACACGTGGATATCACCAGATGGTCAATACCGAAATCAGATTGATTATATTCTTTGCAGCCAAAGATGGAGAAGCTCTATACAGTCAGCAAAAACAAGACCGGGAGCTGACTGTGGCTCAGATCATGAACTCCTTATTGCCAACTTCAGACATGAATGGCGGCCCGGGAATTTCGGGTTGACCCCGTGGACAGCGGGGTGGGAGGTGGCCCCCTACCCTCTCTCCCAGGCTCTGAGCTGTGCTCAGGCCCTTTCCGCTTTCTCCCCAGGGCTCCTGGAAGCCACAGACAAAGACAATAAATCGTGCCTCTGACACCCTCCCCTCCCCTGCCTTTCTCCCTCCCCTGTGTCTGGAGGGGATGTCTCCCCTCCTTTGACCCTCCCCCTCCAAACCCCTTTGTTGCCATGGATACCAAAGGGACCTAGCAGCCAGGGGTCCCTCCCACAAAAGCACGGTGGTCCGTGCCACCATTTGGGAAGGAGGAGACGGTGCGAAAGTGAGAAGAGCTTGCAAACGCCTTCCCGTCTGCAGCCACGCCACCTCTCCAGTTTGGGAGGAAGGAGGAACTGCGCTTTCTGATTGCAACTTCAAAGGCGCTTTGCTGGGTTAAGTCCAACTCTGGCCTGGCAGCCCAAAAGGAACACCCGCACACTCACACACACAATACATACACTCATATACACACACAGTACATGTACTCACGTACACACACACACACAATGCATATACTCACATACACATGCACAGTACATATATTCACATACACACACATACATATACTCACACACACAGACACACAGTACACATACTCACATGTGCACACATACAATACATACACTCGTATATACACACAATGCATATACTCACACATACACAATACATATACTCACATACACATACAATACCTATATTCACATACACTCACACATACAAACACAATGCATACACTTATACACACACAATACATACACTTACATACACACAATACTTATACTCACACACACATACAACAATACATGTTCTCACATATACACTAATACGTTAACACCTATACAAATACTGAACTAGTCACACACACACGCTCATGAGCCCACCTTCCCAGGGCAGGCGGGCTGAGTCCACTAAGAAAATAAGCTGACCCTGCCCTTAGAACAACTGTCCACTCCCAGCAGGAAAAACCCCCTGGCGACCCCCAGAGCTGCCAGGCCCCTACGAGGCCCGAGGCCCCAGCGCCCGTCCCTCAAGCGCCTGGCTGAGGACTCACAGGTTGGAAAGCTGCTTCTGGGCCTTTCTGAAGGCCCAATGACGGCAGAGAGCCAGATCCTGCAGCTGGGGAGGCCGGCACTGCTGTGGGCTTTCCCACGGGACCCCATAGAAGCCATCAGTTCTGCTCCCAAAGGCAAAGGACAGTGGGCAAGAAATAAGTGAGGGCAGAAGACAAACACGCCGCTTCCCACTTTACTAGATCCCCACCTCAGATTCAGATCCTGGGAGCGTGCTCAGGCTAGAGAGGAGTCCTCGAGTACTAGAGGTATTTCAAAAAGCAGGCAGGAGAGTGGAAGCCTGCAGCCCCGCCTTCTGGAACAGACTGCAACAGCCCAGACTGTTCTCATGGGCCCTTACAAGGCAGTCCAGAATCTGGTCAGCAGTTTGGTCGTTTCAGATTAACTTTTGGTAAATGAGGTAGTCTAGCGGTTAGTTCCCACTCAGCACAGTCTGCTTGGGAGTCCAAATATTTCTGAGCACAAGCGTGTTGTTGATGGATAAATGCCCAAACCTCTTCCCCAGCGGCTCAGTGGTAAAGAATCCATCTGCAATGTGGGTTCGATTCAGGAGACATGGGTTTGATCCCTGGGTTGGGAAGATCCCCTGGAAGAGGAAATGGCAACCCGCCCCAGTATTCTTGCCTGGAGAATCCCATGGACAGAGGAGCCTGGTGGGGTACAGTCCCTTGGGTCACAAAGAGTTGGACACGACTCAGTGTGAGCATCAAAGTCTCTCTGAGTTCACTCCTTACCTCTAGCTTGTATTCGTTCTCTACCCTCCAGAGGGGAAAAAACCAGAGAACCCCCTTTTTCTCTGCCTAGGATGCAGAGTGGAAGGCAAATCGGGTCCTCCCTCCATCTAAATTATCTGTCCAACACGTGGAGGGTAACTTTGGCATCATGGGTCCTAGAAGAGGGTTCCAAAGCTTCCAGACTCCTAACCTGGCTCTGGTTCACCCTGTTGTTCTAGGAGGGTGAACTCTATACTTTACCTGAAAAGTGGCCATAATAATGCAGCATCCTCCCCCAAGACAGTTGCAATGATGACGAGATAACAGATGCTAAAACGCCTGGCACGAGAGACTTCAATACACATTACTTCTTTTCAATGTGCTGGATATATATGAAAAATATTAACTGATCTTTCTCGCCATCTCTTTTAACCTCCGGGAGGAGATAGGTCGTATGTCGTTGTTTTAGTTGCTAAGTCACATCTGACTCTGTGACTCCGTGGACTGTATCCCACCAGGCTCCTCTGTCCATGGGATTCTCCAGGCAAGAATGCTGGAGAGGGTTGCCATTTCCTCCTCCAGGGGACCTTCTTGACCCAGGGATTGAGCCCGCATCTCCTGCATTGGCAGATGGGTTCTTTACACTGAGCCACCACGGAAGCCCAACAGACCTTAAGGCACATGAATGCCTTATTCTAAGCCAGATCCTCTTTACTCATGAAGCTTGGTTTTGAACTAATCCATTTTGAATGCCTGATGTGTGATCTCTGCCTCAAGACCCCAGCAAAGATGTAAAATGAGGGGAAAAAAATTTCATCATCGCTTAGGTAAAAATAATGTACTGAGCAATTTGACCTCCATGTGCCAAGCCTTGCAGAAGACAAGAGCATGACTTAAACAGTGTCTGCCAACCAGCAGTAGCAAGCTGTGGTGGAGCCCCGGACTCCAGCCGCCCAGGCTGAAACCCCAGCTTCGTCTTACCGGCTCTCATCTCATGTTTGGCAGGTGATTTCCTCCTTCTGAGCCCAGCTTTCTCATCTGGAGAATGGGGCCGATCA